CAAAGAAAGGGGTGACCACAAGGGCAAGGCCGTTTGGGGGCAATGCAAGATTTTCTTGAACAATACATGGAGGAGGATTCTTTAAATTTGAGAAGCTCTCACAGTTGGTCAAGCTGTATAATTACCTGGCTGCCTGCCAAGGGAACCTGTGTGTGCATGCTTTTCAGCCAGCTGTGGGATTTAGTGAGGTGGCAAGTATCTATTGTATACCCATTATATACATACGCCAGATTGGCATGTGGGGAAGAAAGAAGCAAGCAAGCAGAAACTCAAATATTGTGAGAAAATGGAGCATCCCGTGTTGAGTGTGGGGCACAGTCATGTTTTCATGTGACTCAACATGAGCAGATACAATGTGTCTATTGTTGGGGTAGCCAGCGCCACAGTCCCCTGCTGATGCCTGCCTGCCAGCATGTCCTCTGTACCCTGTGGGTCTCACCGCTCCTTTGCATAAAGCCTCTTGGTTGTAATCACATCTTCATGTTACCTTAGTAAGGAATTGCCACTGCATCGAAAGGCACCTGGAATCTTCCTGTTACAGGTGTGGGCCTCGTAGCAAAGCTGCCAGAAGACACAGGGGACAAATATAACCCAACAGCTTGTGGGTACCAGATAGTTTCCACATATACCATACACTGTCTAACCTGCTTTCTTCAGCTTAGAAAGTTGAGAATTCCATTGGCACTTTTGTGGAGAGTGGCCAACTGAAAGAAAGGAGGCCTGTAAGCAGGGCCATGAGCCAAAGACTTGGGGATGCTAAAGGCAGACTTTTGATTTGACTTCAGGGGATGGTTTTTGTTGTTTATGTTGAACTTTTTTGTAATACTAATTTTGAATGCTCTTATTCTCTACTCCAGAGATAGCTTGGCTATTTTTCTTCAGACCACACAGCTGCTCCAAGCCCTCAGATCTGTAATTAGATACAAATTCTTCGTTCCTGCCGTCATCTATCCCACATCCTACCTGTTCTGTTCACTGCCAGATTGCTTGGAAAAGTTGTATTTGCTTCCTGGCTGATGTAGGGTAACATCTTGCTTCTATTATCATTAAGCAAAAGGTAGACAGGGGGAAAGACCTACACTTTGTGTCTCCCTCCATCACCTTTTTGTGGGATAGTAAGTAGCACCAGGGAAATGCCCCTTGATGTAAGTCTTGAGGTGTCACAGGTGGCCACCAGGGACGCATTACACATTGAACTAGAATTCAGAGGTCCAAGGGGTAGCCTCAGGATAGAAATGGAACTTCAGCTGTCTTTAAGTCCCAGTAGTAAGGTGAGGATAGTAGCTTGGAGCAGTACTCCTTGAAGCATATAAAGGGAATGGTACAGAATTCAAACAACTAAGTCCTTAGCTTAATTCTGTAGCAAATCACCAAGTGTTGCTAAGCTCTCCATGTGGGACTACATTCATAGAATATCCTAGAGCAAGGCTTTAACCTTTTAGTGCTCAACTGTCCAGAGACAGACTAGAAAGTTAGATGAGGAGAACAATATGCTCCGACGATGTATTCATTATTCTCTGAACAATTATACTCAGTGTTCTGAGTCTCAAAGACATTGACAAACCGGGGTGGCATCCCTTTGCACATACTGCTGTTTTTCAGTGTTCTATGAGCCCTGGCTGAAGAACAAGGCAAATGATCTAAGTCTAGAAAGCAGCAGCAGTGGAAGCCAGCCCCCCTCTCCTGTGAGGAGTGTTTTTTTTTCCCAGACTGCAAGACGCTGCAACCTCTATCTACCCTCCCGTGGATCTCTCCAAGGTAGACTAGTAGAATGCCAAAGGAAGAGGCCCCTGAATCTCTAGGAGTCTTATTGTAGTTCTTTTTGTAGGAAGATATTATTTTCTATATACCGAAAGGGGATGCAAGGAAGGGGAAGGAGAAGGTGGGAAGGACAGTTTCTGCCCTCACACAGTTCTGCTCTCAATTTCCCAACATCCTTCACTCCATTCCCTGGGCGACATTAGTCACTCAGAACACCTTTCTGGTGCCTCACTCAGTCTGTCTCCAAGGTTCCATTCTCCAGAATTAATACTTGCTCTAGTCAGAACATCAGAGAATAGTTATCAATGGACACACATACACACACACACACACACACACACACACACACACATCGGCCTATCAAGCATGGAAAAAGTGAACAATGGCATAACAAGGTAAGAATAATATAATATTCTTGGGCCAGCAAGATGGCTTAGCAAGTAAAGTACTTGCTGTTCAAACCCAACAGCCTCCTGAGTTTGATCGCCAGATCCCACAGTGGAAGGAGAGAACCAACTCCAACAGTTGTTCTCTGTCCTAGACAATGCACACATTCATTCTTTTTTCTTTTAGTTTTTTTTTTTTTTGACAGGGTCTCCCTGTAGCCCCAGCTGGCCTGGAACTCACTATGTAGATCAGGCTGGCCTCGTAAATATCTGCCTGCCTCTGCCTCCCAAGTGCTGAGATTAAAGGCATGCAGCATCACACCTGACCTGCACACATTCACTTTATTTCTGTGTGGATTGACTTTATTTAGTGTAAACTGTAGACTCTTACTTGTTCCTCCACCTTAATATTCACTGCTTACTTATTTATAGACAGTCTCATGTAACTCAGGCAGGCCTTGAATTCTCTATGTAGGATGACCTTGAACTTCTGATCCTCTTGCCTTCACCTCCTCAGTGCTGGGATTACAGGCATGAGCCACCACACTCAGCTTTTATGCAGTGCCAGAGACTGAACTGAGAGGGTTTCAGGTATGCTAAGCAAGTACTTCACCATTGGTCTATACCAGCAATTTATTTCTTTATTTTTTTAATCTCCCATCCACTTCCCACATGCTACTAAATTCTTGGTGGTGGAGAATACCTTGGCTCTTTATGATGAGAAGCAACTGGATCATCTCAGTTTAATATATGTAGACTTATTTCAGGAGCACTGAATAGCTTTTCTAAGTGTCACCCTTAGAAAAGGGTGCTTGCCTCCAAAAACAAACTGGTAAATGGCCCAGGCACCTGTCTGCAGCCTATCTGCCTAACAGCTCAGTTCTGCTGCTTCTCCAGCATCTTTCCTGTTTCTGAGAGTTGGAATTCCCAAGGTCCCAGTCCCAATCCTGCTTTCCTTTTCTCCATTCTGTCTTCCTAAGTGATCCCATTCACTCCCATGGTATTAAATACCAAATTTGCTGCTTCCCAAGCACATATCTCCAGCCTACATCTGTCTCTTACGCCTCAGATTTATAGATGCCCAATTCCTTCCTGGACATTTTTACTCAAGTGTCTTCTTGGGGAAACAAGGATAACATTGTAGTAAGTCCAAAAATGAAGCTTTTGAGTCGTGCCTCTTATTATCACACACAACCAGTTCTATTCGTGATCTTCCTGTGTGGGTATGTTGTATAAGGTAGCCCATATAAACATGTATATATTGAGTATGTAGATGTGCCCACTTGACTGCTCAACCAAAGAGTCATTTTAGGTCCCAACCCACTTCCTTAATCCACCTCCAATTCATGAGCAGTTACAGTCATGAGCAATTGCTTGGCTTGCCCTAGGTCTTCTATCTGTTTTCTTGTCTCTAGTTCTGCCCTGAACACTCAAGTCTAAGCTGACATTATTTTTTGTCAAATCCAAAGCAATGATGCTCCTGTGACCAGTCTTGAAGAACTGGTCTCCCTAGAGTAGTAATAATAGTCTTCAAGACCAAGTGTGGTGCCCATGGTTTCTGAACTATTCAGTGGGTGTGAAACACGTTACACTTGGAATACAATGAAAAGATGCCCCCGTGGCCCCAACTCTACATCTGCATGGAGTGCCTCCTCTGTTCCTACCCAGATTTACTCTCTGTCCTCTCCCATCAGCTGCCACCAGGCTCACGTTCTGCCATATGCCCTGTGTGCTGGCCATCTCGCTGCTCCGAAGATATGGCCAGAACTTTCTGTCCTGTCCTAAAAATTGCTGTTACAGTGCTATAATATTCTTTCCTCTGCTGCTCCTAGTCTGTTTTGTTTCTATCGTGTCAGCTTACAAGCAAATATAAAGAGCTGCATACACGGTACTGAAAAGTAATAACTGTTCACTTTTTATCACTTAGGATTTTTTTTCATCTTTTTGAGACAGGGTCTCCCTGCAGCCCCAGCTGGCCTGGAACTTGCTATGTAGACCAGGCTGGCCTTGAACTCACAGAGATTCACCTGCCTCTGCCTCCCAAGTGCTAGGACTAAAGGCTTGCACCACTATGCCAGCCAGGCACACACCACTTACGATTTAAAAAAAAAAATTCAAAGTCCACTTTTCTCTTCTGTCCCATTCCACATTCCTTCTTACTCTAGTGAGCAATGCACATTGTGGGTTCCCTACCCTGTATCCCTTTCTCCCTTCCTTCTTCCTAACACAACCTTGACTTTGTTAAGGCATTCATATACCTCCTGTTCCTACTTCTGTTTCCTCACGTGCATTGGAAAAAGCCAAGGGCAGCCTGATTGTGGCCTATAAGAAATGAAGACAAGAGAGTTGAAGGCTGGTTTCTTTTGAGCTCCTTCACACAGCCAGCTTGCAACCTCTTTAGAGGTTCCTTCCCTCTCTACCTGCCCTCTGAGATTTGTCTTTAGAGAACTGTGGTAGGATGGGAGGAACTGGGCTATCTGGATTTCTAATCCAATGCTAAAAGCACACACTAGCTGGTAATCTTGTTCATTCAGTCTTTATCATCTATCATCTACTTATCTTGCATAACTGTCTGTCAACATCATAGCCAGAAAGAAGCTCAACTTCATACATGTCTCCCTGCCTCTTCTCCTAAACAATAAAGAAAAGGGATTTGTTTATCCTTCTGGGGCTAATTAGTTTTTGGCTAGGATAGTATTTTACTATAGCTTGTGTGCGTGTGTGTGTGTGTGTGTGTGTGTGTGTGTGTGTGTGTGAAGTCAGTGTCATGAAAGTCTTATATAAAGGTAGGTCTGCATTTGGATGGTGTATTTGGAATAACAGTTCTGAACTGACCTGTTTCTCTGCTTGTAGGTTGCAGTATGTTTACCTTCCTGACATCTGTCACCGCAGCCATCAGTGGCCTCCTGATGGGATATGAACTTGGGCTCATCTCTGGGGCTCTTCTTCAGATCAGAACCCTATTATCCTTGACCTGTCATGAGCAGGAAATGGTTGTGAGCTCCCTCCTCATTGGGGCCTTCCTCGCCTCTCTCACTGGAGGAGTCCTGATAGATAGGTATGGAAGAAGGATCACCATCATCCTGTCATCCTGTCTACTAGGACTTGGCAGCTTGGTCTTGATACTGAGTTTGTCCTACAGAATTCTCATCATGGGACGCATTGCTATAGGGGTGTCCATTTCCTTGTCTTCCATTGCCACTTGTGTATACATTGCAGAGATTGCTCCCCAACACAGAAGAGGCCTTCTTGTGTCACTGAATGAACTGATGATTGTCATCGGTATCCTTTTTGCTTATATTTCAAATTATGCATTTGCCAATGTCTCCCAGGGTTGGAAGTATATGTTTGGTCTTGTGATTCCCTTGGGGATTTTGCAAGCAATTGCAATGTACTTTCTCCCTCCAAGCCCACGATTTCTGGTGATGAAAGGGCAAGAGGAAGCTGCTAGCAAGGTTCTTGGAAAGTTAAGAGCAATCTCAGACACCACTGAAGAACTCACCATGATCAAATCTTCCCTGAAAGATGAATATCAGTATAGCTTTTGGGATCTGTTTCGCTCCAAGGACAACATGAGGACCCGAATCATGATAGGTCTGACATTGGTATTTTTTGTACAAACCACTGGCCAGCCAAACATATTATTCTACGCATCAACTGTCTTGAAGTCCGTTGGCTTCCAAAGCAATGAGGCAGCTAGCCTGGCCTCCACTGGGGTTGGAGTGGTTAAGGTGGTTAGCACCATCCCAGCTACCCTTCTTGTAGACCACGTTGGGAGTAAAACCTTCCTCTGCATTGGCTCCTCTGTGATGGCGGCTTCACTCTTGACCATGGGCATTGTGAATCTCAACATCAATATGAACTTCACCAATATCTGCAGAAGCCACCGTCCTGTCAATCAGTCCTTGGAGGAGTCTGTGTTCTACAGAGCAGGAAACCTGTCAACCAGCAACATCACTCTCAGAGAGCACTTTAAAGGGGTCACAGCCCACAGCAGGGGCTCAGTTATGCCCATGGGAAATGACATGGATAAGAGAGGGGAGATGACACCCACTTCTTTACCAAGTGCTGGACTAAGCCAAACTGAACACCAAGAAGTCATTGACCCTGTGGTTGTCCCAGCAGTTTACAAATGGCTGTCTTTAGGCAGCTTGCTTGTTTATGTTGCTGCTTTTTCAATTGGTCTAGGACCCAGTAAGTACTTAATTGCTTATTCCCTCTCTCACTTTATGACTGTCTTTGTACTGCTTTTGATCAGTTAGTACAATCTACTGTTATAGTACCTTATTACATGTAAGTACTAGAAACAAGATGAGGATGATAGTAGTCATTTGATGTTTCTACATATGTGGAAAGCATGCCTGGTGTATACTGGAAAAGCACAAAGCCTGTACTCAACTGAAGGATAAGTTTCCTATTATCTGCCATATGAGCATATTGTAGTACAGTTGACCAGGGATGAATCAGACCTGGAAAGAGATTTATTGCCTCAGGATATTTTATATATATATATGTATATATACATATATATGTATATATATGTATGTATATATACATATATATGTATATATATGTATGTATATATACATATATATGTATATATATGTATGTATATATACATATATATGTATATATATGTATGTATATATACATATATATGTATATTTTAACTTTTACAAAAACTTTATTGAGAATTTCATACATGCATATAAGGTGTTTTGATCAAATCCATGCCCACTCCCTCCCCTCCAACATTGCTCCCTCTGAAGAGATAACCCTAAAATCTTTTAAAGATTAGGTTCAAGCTCCAAAATACTTTTGACATTTTTGGCCTTTGGAACAGAGTATGTTGCTAACAGGCCCAAAGACATTTTGACTTTTAGCCCAGAAACTGGCTACATTTCTTTAGGGTCTTTTTATGCTAACTGCCTACCCAATCCCTACCTCCTATTCTTATCATGCCATCCTCTGAAGGGGTTACCCAAATTGCCAATAGGGAATAGGGACACAGACTGCTCTGGCTTCCTCCATGCTGAACAGGGATGCAGGGTGAGGCAATTGGAGTACCCCTTCAGTGGGTCTATCTAAAAGACTCCCAAATTGCATAGCTCTTCT